GGGAAAGAGGAGGCCACCCACTATATGTTCTCTAGGCCTTTTAAAAAACATGGAGTTGTTCCTTCCATGCGAATCTACAAGAAAGGTGGTATTGTAGATATCAAGCGAATGGGCTCTGTTCAAAAAGGAATGCCCCATAAATGTTACCATGGCAAAATTGCAAGTCTACAGCATTACCCAGCATGCTGTTGGCATCACTGTAAACAAACAAGTTAAGGGCAAGATTATTGCCAAGAGAAATAATGTCCATATTGAGCATATTAAGCACTCTGAGAGCAGAGATAGTTTCCTGAAATGTGTGAAGGAAAATGATCAGAAAAAGAAGGAAGCCAAAGAGAAGGGTACTTGGGTTCAGCTGAAGCACCAGCCTGCTCCACCCAGTGAAGCACACTTCATGAGAACCAATAGAAAGGAGCCTGAACTGTTGGAACCCATTCCCTATGAATTCATGGCATGATAGCTATAAAGAAAATAAAAGATCTAGATTGTAAAAATGAATAAATACATAAATAAAAAGTTTTAAAAAAACGTAGGGATTTCACCTAAAAATCCAGATTCTCAGCTTCTCTTGGAAACTGGAGACTCTGGCCACACTGGTCTAAATTCCCAAATGCCTAGAGTTGGAGCTTGAAATGGGGCATGCATTCCACTTCACTCCTTTTCGCTATCTCCCTGACAGTCTCAGGCATTTGAACTTGTAGCTTCTGCCATTTGGGTTAGAGCCTAAGCACCATAGCATGGCGTATAAGTTGATGACTTGGCTGTTCTTTCCTTCTTCAGCCTCACACCCCTTTACTCTCCGCCTCAAATGTCACATTCCAGCCATAGCAAACTGCTTGCAGCTGTCTTCCACACACCAGGCTATTATGCACCTCAATACCTTTGCTCAAGCTATGCCTTCTTCCTGGAAAGTCTCCATCACCACTACCTTTGCCCACCTAACCCCTGCTCATCCTTCAAGGCCCTGCTACTCCAAGAAGGCTGGCTTCCTATAGTATCCCCTACAGAACCCACCGTCACACTTTCCACACTGTATTATAATGATTATTTACATTTCCCTTCCCTACTTGCTTCTTTTTTTAAAAATAAATAAATTTATTTATTTATTTATTTTGGCTGCATTGGGTCTTCATTGCTGCGCGCGGGCTTTCTCTAGTTGTGGTGAGCAGTTCTTTGTTGCGGTGCGCGGGCTTCTCATCGCAGTGGCTTCTCTTGTTGCAGAGCACAGGCTCCAGGCGCACGGGCTTCAGTAGTTGTGGCGCTTGGGCTTAGCTGCTCCGTGGCTTGTGGGATCTTCCCGGACCAGGGCTCAAACCTGTGTCCCCTGCACTGGCAGGTGGATTCTTAACCACTGCACCACCAGGGAAGTCCCCTACTTGCTTCTTGATGGCTGGGACTGTGTAGTGAACATTTTAAAAATCCCAGTGCCAACCACAGTATGTGTTCAATAAATACCTGTTAAATGAACGTGTAAATAACTTCTTTCCCTGTCTAAATGTGGGTACTCAGAATATGGGCCTCAAAGGGTTGTCCCTGATTCCAGGGAATGCTGCTTGGTTGACTCCTAGGATGCTTTATGATACAGTTATCTTTCTCGATGTGTTATCTTTCTAGTCAGTTGGCTCCTGGAGGACAGAGTTTCTATGCTTTTCCATCCCCTACAATGCCTGGCATTGTGCTTGGCAGCTGCTGATGACGTGGCAGTCTGGAGCGGGGTTAACTAAAGGGGTGCTGTTGGGAAGATGATACCCCCATTGACCCTCTTTTCCCCAAGCATGCTCCCACACACATACCCACACTCATCTATGCACTTCTGCTGCTGCCTTCCTGGCCTGTGACTCTCTCTGCTTTCCTCCTGCAGCCAGTGTGGTTGTCTGTGGATTTTGATAACTGGAGAGACTGGGAAGGGGATGAAGAAGTGGAGCTGGCTCAGGTGGACCATTACGCAGAGGTAATGCTGTTCTCTGCCTGTCTCAGTCATTCTCTGTGACTCTCTGCACACATTGCTCTGGAAGATTGTCGTCAGGGCTAGGCAGAGGGATATGATCTCCCCAGGCAGGTTGCTCAGTGGTGTGCTAGTCTTTATGTTTTGTGCAATGTTTATTTAGTAGGGATGAGAGAAGTGAATATTGCTAGTGAAATTGTATACATAGATTCATTCACTGTTTAGAGCAGAGCCTGTGTTCCAAAAAAGTTTGGCAAAAGCTTTTCCTACTTTTCTGTAATTCTTGTTCTCCCTTCTATTTTCTTTGTGTATGTGTGTGTGTTTTTCCTGAGCCAGATGGCTTCATGGGAAGCTCAAAGTACGCAGTATAAAAATTCACATCACAAAATAAATCACCAATCCACAATAAATTGCACCGTGCTGTACGATATTTGGTTTCTGAATTTCAGCTGTTTATTCAAGTTGCAAAAACACTAATAGTAACCCAGATTAGTAAGGAGGTGCGTGTGTCTAAATTTCCTTATAAAAAGGGGGTCAATTTCATATACACACTGCTATAATTAAAATAGATAACCAACAAGGACCTACCGTATAGCACAGGGAACTCTGCTCAATATTCTGTAATAACCTAAATGGGAAAAGAACTTGAAAAAGAATAGGTATAACTGAATCACTTTGCTGTACACCTGAAACTAACACAACATTGTTAATCAACTGTACTACAATATAAAATAAAATTTTTTAAAAAGGGGGCTATCAGTTTACTTTTCTTCAGTTCATTCCAGTGATGTATTAGGGGCTTTAAAGCTGGGGCAGTTGTTCACCTGGGACCGTTTTCCTGTGGTCCGTCAATATGCAGATTGCTCTTCCTTTGCCCCTCTTCTCTCTTGTGACTACTTTTCTCTTCCCACCAGCTTTTGGAGAAGGTGAGCACCAAGAGGCCTCCCCCTGCAATGGACGACCTGGATGTAAGTAAAGCCTGCTCCTTAACCTTTCCCTTTCCTTTTAGCCCTTAAAAATAAGATACTAGAAAGCTCCTGTCCCAGTCTCTAGCACATAGTGGTTCTCAGTGCATGTTAGCCAAATCTGAATTTGACACAGGAGGTCAAATGTTCTTCTCCATGCTCTAGAAAAGCCCAGTAAGACCCTTGTCCCTTCCATCTCCCCTTCTGCTTCTCCAATCTAGGGCAGACCTGGCCCTGTTGACTTATCTTTATAGCTGTAAGGACCAGTAGCATTCGCTGTAATTCTGGCATTAAATGGTGCATGGCACAGTGCTGTTTACTGAGTACAAGTGTCTTATTTTATCATACAAAATTTAAATCCTTCCGTGTTAGGCTCCCAAGAAGTTGTGTGATTCAGAAAATTACCAAAGAAAACCTGGAGAGCTGGAGGGAGTGAGCAGCATTTGTGAACATAAATGTCCACTCTTTGCAGACTCTACAGGTGCTTTTGTCTTTTTTTTTTCCCCCCCAGGATGATTCTGACAGTGCGGACGTAACCAGTAATTAACTTTCTGTGACAGCATAGCTGGGGAGGAAGCTGTGGCTATCTTCCAGTCACTCTAACAAGCTAGGTCCTGGGTCTTTCTCAGCTCTTTGGCTGTGCGCCAGGGTCCTCTGGGATCTCCGAACTTTCCTAGAAGCTCTTTATTAAGGGTCCTCCTTCATGCTTTATTTCTATTTCCTAGGCACTTGACTATGGCTGCTGCGTCAGATGACAGGATAGGAGAGGAGTAGACAGGTGGGGCTTCTGAATTCCTACCAATTGGCTGTAATCTTTGTGTTTGGGCCACTCATCAGGGCTTTCTGGAGTATTTGAGCCTCTGTGTGTGTGTATGTGTAAGAGCAGAAGCCATAGAAGCAGCATATAGATTATAATAAATCTGTAGCAACTGTTCTGTGTCTCTTTCCTTTTTGTACTTCTTCTAGAGGCAAGCCTCTTCCTGTCTATAGCTCCTCTCCAGTGGAGAGGTGGGTGTCAGACATCCTGGCCCTTACTGTCGAGACTGGAAGAAGAAAGATGTTGGGAGCAGACTTGTAACCAAGCTGGGGAACTTTCCCATGCCCAGATCTTCAGAGCAGAAACCAGCCTTTCACTGTATAGCTAATACTGCGACCTCTAGAACCAGCCAGAAACCCACCTTAGCTTCCTGCATACTCCAGAAGTATCTTTACATGTTTCTTTTTGCACTTAAAAAGCAGTTAAGCCATTTATTGGCACTGGGAGAGCATTCCTTTAAATATCTTTACACTTTTAAAGCTGATTGTTACATTAGTTAATGCCTATGTCTGTTTACTACTCTATTCATCAGCTACCCCATTCATCCACAAACATTTTCTGAGGGCCCAGTGTGTACTTAAACTGTGACTTAAACAAAATGCAACACTCAGGCTTTGCCCTTGAATTCATGGTAAAGTACTGAGATTTGTTAAAAAAAATTAAAATCTAAAGTTTATTTCAGTAATATATGGACATAGTTTAAAAAATTAAATAGTATAGAAGGGTGTGAAATTTAAAGTAGAATTTGCACTCCCTCAATAGCTGTAACCACTGTTAACAGTTTCTTCAATAAATTTATATATTTATGTCTAGATCTTTATATATTATACCTGTTATAAATTCCATAATACCTATAATTTATATTATATAATTATATATAAAACATACAACATATCTAGAACATAAACATATACAATATCATGTATTGTTTATATATAGTACAATATATCAATATATTAAAATTTAACACATATAGGCAAATGCAATGTGTCTGTGTGTACACAATGGGAATCATACTATTAATATACATCTTGTACCCCCCTTTTTTTCACTTAATATATATTGGAGCTCTTTCTAAATCAGTATACATAGATCTGACTCTTCTTTATGGCTACATGGTATTCAGTTGAATATATTTTCCATAATTTAACTGGTTCCTTATCAAGGGATATTTAAGTTGTTAGTCTTTTTCAGTTTTCAAACAAGGCTGCAAGGAACAGTTTCAAAAGTAGATCCTTACATGTTTGGCAAGAATATCTGTAGGGTAAATTTCTTTTTTTTTTTCCTGGCCACACCACGCGGCTTGCAGGATCTTAGTTCCCCAACCAGGGATTGAACCTGGGCCCTGGCAGTGGAAGCACCAAGTCCTAACCACTGGACCACCAGGGAATTCCTATAGGGTAAATTTCTAGAAGTAGAATTGCTAGGTCAAAGAGCAGATAAACATTTTGAAAGCTGTTGCCAAGTTGCTTTTAGATGAAATCATACCAATTTTCACTTCCACCAAGAGTGCTCCATTCTCCAAAACCTTTTAGATATTTGCCAAGATAAAATTATACTTGGTTTAATTTGCTTCATTTTTTTTCTTTCTGGCCACGTCGCGGGACTTGAGGGATCTTAGTTCCCTGACCAGGGACTGAACCCGGGCCCTCAGCAGTGAGAGTACAGAATCCTAACCACTGGACTGCCAGGGAATTCCCTGGTTTAATTTGCTTTAAATTATGAGATTGCTCATTGTTTATTAGTGATTAATATTTCTTTTAATGTGCTCTGTCCATGTCTTTTGCCCATTTTGATATTGACATTAGTTCTTAAACTTAAAAAATAACATAATGCAAATCTGTATTTGTATCGTGCTTTACAATTTACTAAGTATTTTAATATCTCATTAAAAATTTTGAACTTCATATCAACCTTGTAAAATAATTAAGTCTTCTCTTAATAGGTACTCAAACAGGTCACAATAAGTGGCAAAGCTGGGACTTGAACTTCTATAGCATATGTCCCCTTGCCCACAATTCTGAAAACCGAAAATTTCTAAAAACTGACCTAAAAAAAAAAGTTAACACCAAAACTCATCCAGCAGGAAAATATGACCTAAAATGATGTGAGGCTATTTATAGTCTTTGTTTATTCCATTTAGCGTATTTATTTCTCAGCATAAATATCAATACGTTTGATCACACGGAGTTGCTCCAGGGTTCCAAATGGAACACATTACGTAACACATGGGTATGGTCTGCATTACTGCCTAAAATCAGAAAAACCCTATATTCTGAAACATCTGGGAACTTCAAGCTTTTTATTACTTGATTTAAAAGAGCAGAAAGTTAATCTTAACTTTTAATCCATTTAACGTTTTAAGGCACCGATTGCAGTTAAACTTGTTAACTTCTGTTAACCTCTTTATTTGCACTGTCCAATCCCGTAGCAATGGTCACACGTGATTATTGAGTACCTGAAATGTTGCTAGTCCGAACTGAGATGTGCTGTAAGTGTAAAATACATACCAGGTTTCGAAAATCTTGTACGGGGGGGAAAAAACTCACTTATTATAAAATACACATTACATGATGAAATAATATTTTGGATATGGTGATTTAAATAAAAACATTATTAAGGGACTTCCCTGGTGGCGCAGTGGATAAGATACCAGTGCTCCCAATGCAGGGGGCCGGGTTCTATCCCTTGTCAGGGAACTAGATCCCACACGCATGCTGCAACTAAGAGTTCGCATGCCCCAGCTAAGGAGCCCGCCTGCCGCAACTAAGACCGAGCGCAACCAAATAAATAATTAATTAAAAAAAAAAACCGATCTCCTCAGCTCTCATGAATAGACTCCTTGCTGGCTCTGCTTCATTCTCCCGGCCCCAAATGGGCTCAGCCTTGGTTCTCTTCTCTGTGCTTTTTTTCCTTCAAAGGTTTTAACCAACTCGCCCTTCACTGTGGGAGACTCTTCCAAATGTGTAGTTCCACTTTTGACCTTCTTCCCAGGTTCTAGTTCCATATTTCTAACTGTCTTTCTTTACCATTTAACTGTGTTTCAAACTCAGTACTTTCAAAATAGAATCTTAACTTTATTTCCCAAGCCATATCCCTCTCTTGTTTACCACTTCAGCTGAAAAGACTCCGGAGCCTGTGCTCCACAACGGGAGAGGGCACAACAGTGAGAGGCCCGCGTACCGCAAAAAAAAAAAAAAAAAAAAAAAAAAAAAGAGCTTTAAAGAAAAATTAACATGTGGCTTGCATTACATTTCCATTGGGCGGCGTTGCTGTCTATCCAAGCCAGTACCGTCCCCACTTCTATCAGGCAGGCTTCCGCGGGGCCGAATTACGTACATCCCTGGGATCCAACGGGGCCAAACGAAGTGCTATGATAAGTTCAGGCCGCAGTTTTGTTCTGTCTTGTCTTCTGGTTTTCTTCAAAGTCTTAAAATAGTCCCTCAACAACGCTGAGCGCCTGCACTTCGCGTTTTCAATAAATTTGCCCAAACCACACGCCGTTCTTTGCCCTTTTGCTTCTGCGCAGAGACGCGCCCGGAATGAAGATTGTCTCGCTTCGCTCTCCGTCCGGCGCCAGGCGTTTCAGTGTGCAAGGTTACCGGCGTCCTGGGAGACAGCAGTGATGGCGTTCCAGTGTCAGCGGGACAGCTACGCCAGGGAGGTGCGGCCGGCGGGCGGGAAACCCGATGCTCCGAGCGGGTGCGGCGGTGCGGGGAAGAGGGCGCCGCGTGGAGGGGGCACCGAGCTGGATTCAGTTCCGGTGCGCTGAGGGTTGGGGTCGGGGCTTACTCTCGCATCCCTTTTCTACCCAGTTCACCACCACCGTGGTCTCCTGCAGTCCCGCGGAGCTGCAGACCGTAGGAAGCAACGGCAAGAAGGAAGTGCTGAGCGGTTTCCACGTGGTGCTGGAAGACACGCTGCTTTTCCCCGAGGGCGGGGGACAGGTACCAGGCCCGTCCTTTCCCCTTTCCTTCTCCCCCCTCCCAGGAAGCCCCTAATTCTTTCCGAGCAGGTCGGAAATGCTCTCCTGGTCTTCAGTCCCAGCTGTAATGAGTACAGATGGAAATTAGTTCAATTCAGTTCATTTGTTCATTCAGCAGGTATTTATCAACAAATAGTCATCTGTCCGTAACAAATGCTGGGTACTAATTCAAGCTCTAAGGATAAAAGCTGAACAAGAAAATGTCTTTGCATACGTAGAATATTTATTGGAGGAAACAGACAAAATGGTGAATAGATAAGTAGTATGCCGGTATGATAAATGTGTAAAGAAA